CTCAGCCTTCCAAGTAGCTGGAACTACAGGTGTGTGCTACCATGCCCAGCTAGTTTTTGATTTATTGTAGAGACGAGGTCTCGCTAAGTTACCCAGGTGAGTCTCGAACCCACAAGCTCAGGCAATCCTCTCACCTCGGCCTCCCAAAGTGCTGGGATTACAGGCTGAGCCACCGAGCCTTGCCCCAGCCCAGAATCTTAAATATCAACTCACAGGGCTGTTAGGAGGCTACAGTGAGACCCTACAAGGTACAGGTCCTGTTAGGGAGTGAGGATGTGACATGGGAGGCCTAAGAAAGGAGGGAAATGCCTTGAGTTCCCATCTTCCTGAGGCCTGGCCTCCTTTCAGCTGCCCATCAATTCTTCATGCTGCCATGATTCGGCAAGCATCTTATGACAGTAAGAACCTATTTCCCCAGGTCCTGCCAGGCTCTTTGGAACAGCCCTTCCCAGGGATATCCTCATCCTCCTGTAAGCCTAGAACTGGCACAGGGCCTAGATCCTACAGCACAAGCTGCTGTTACTGAATGACCCTCAACTCCACCCATGGGGAGGTGTCAATAGCACCTATCATACCAGAAAGGTGGAGCGGGCTCAAGGCCACACAGTGAGTAGCAGAACTGGGGTTCTCACACAGGGAAGCCAACCGACAATCTCTGAACCCCAGTTGCCTCCTGTTCTAAACCGTGCTAGTCCCCTGAGGTCCCCATGCCCTCTTTTGCCTTTGCATATGCTTTTGGGCCCCCTGCTTGAAATGTTCTCCCTCTCCCATTGGGTATGCCCTTCTCCTTTTATCCTCCAGGGCTTGACTCCAATGTCTCCTCTTCCAGAAAGTCCTCCCTGACCCCACCATCCCTAGGTTGGGTAAGGAGCTCCCTCTGGGCTCCCACGGCCCCTAGGCTTCTCCATCCCAGCTCTGTCCACTCTGGGTCATCACTGTCTGGCGACAGGCATGTCTTCCACACCAGACTGGATCCTGGCAGAGAGGAAGTGCAAGGATGAAGAACACAGGATTTGGAGTCAGAATCCGGGATTCTAGTACTAGTTCAGCCAGCACCTAGCACAGTGACCTTGGGCTAACTATTTTAGCCCTGAGGTCTCTTCTTTCTGTATAAAATAGGGAAGAAATTACCCTGCTCTAGGGAGCTTTTATGAGAACTAGATGAGAGCACCATGGTGGGCATATGCTAAGTGCTTAAATGTGGACACTAGTGTTATTAAGTGTCTTTCTCAGGCTCCCATCCCCTCCCCAGTCCTACTTGGCCCAGGACCACCATGCCCTCACCTGTTTGAGCACTGTGATCTTTGAGTCATTGGTGATCAGCGCTGCCTGGTTCAAAAGATCCACCACCTGGAAAGAGGGGGAGCAGTGTGTGACGGGTGCCAGCTCAGCCCAGTCCCTCAGCACTCCCAGGGCTCTGCCACCTGAGGGTAGGTCACCTAAGGACAAGGGCAGTGCCTCCCACTCCAAGCCCTTCTTGCCATGCTCACCCTCTCTGAGGTGGTCATGCCATCAATGCCTGGCCCCTCCTCTTGAGTGAAAAACTGTGATGCCACGCTCCGGCGGGTGACGCTGTCCCCACTGTTGTTTGCCATGGCTGCTGTCAGGCAGTCCCTGGAAAAGGAGGGGATGGATCAAGCACAGAGTCCCTGTAGATGGCCTGGCCCAGACTGTCACCCCAACACCTACAAGGAGCTCAAGCATCCTTCCCAGCCTGTGCTTTCCCCATTGGGCCTTCTGAAGACCCTCTCTCCTCCAGGGTCTGTCTCTGGCTTATATATGTGTGCATGGGGGTGTAGTTTGGGGGGAAACAGATGTCTCCCAGGTCAGAGGCAGAACACACAGCAGGCCAACCACAAACATCTGCTGAATGGCTGACCAAATGACTGCACAGCAGCCACCTCAATGGTCTCTGTGCCTCCTGTCTCTCCATCTCAGGAGGAGAGTGTACGCAGATTGGGCACCAGAGCAAACTTTCTAAAACGCTACTCTGAGAAACACCAGTCACAGAGCCCAGCACATAGTAGGTACTCAACACATCAGAAAAGGCCGCTTAGATAAATTATGTTTTAGCCATTCTCTGGACTACTACATAGTTGTTTTGAATTTTGCTTGTTTATTTATTTGTTTGTTTATCTATTTATTTTGAGTTGGGGTCTCACTCTGTCACCCAGGCTAGAAGGCAGTGGCACGTTCCTGGCCACTGTAGCCTCGACCTGCTGGGTTCAGGTGATCCTTCTGCCTCAGCCTTCCAAGTA